GAATGGACAAGTGTGAAGGAAAGTGGGTCTATTTTAAGACATACATACCAGATGTTATGAACAAGTCACTCATTTTCAGACAGCAGATCCAAATTTAAAAAAAAAAAAAAATCACTCATGCAGAAAAGAACAACATGTATGCATTTATCAAAATTAAATGTAATAAGTGAGTGGCTATGAATGCAAGTGGGCAGTTGTTGTGGATGGTTTCCAGGTGGCTGATTTTGGATGCGGCTTCAGAAGCAGCATTTGCAAATTATGATGCTCATTTGCATAACATGCCCTCAAAGCACACCTCAAAATTTGCAAGACTATCTCAGCCACACCATGGTTTGTAAGTATCTTAAACTGGTAAGTGGTGAGCGAGGAGGGAAGCGGGAGGAGTGGAGAGAGAATATACACCTAGGAGACTTACTGACAAGTATAAATATACCTCAGTTTACAGGTTAAATCTGCGAATGACACATTTAATACAATTCTGTCACCACCTTAGTAAACTGTTGTTCTGCAAGTAGGTTACTGTCATACAATGTCAGTCAGACTAGCTTTGAACATCTTGTGAATTTACCATTACGATTACTGCTTTATTAGCATGTCCTAAACACGTGCCACGGTTCCTTTCTGACAAAGTTCATTAAAACAGAAATGTATTGGCCGCTGTCATTTCCTAACAGGGCACATATCTTTAAAATACTGTGTTTTATATACATTGTGAAACTGATACATTGGATGCATTTTTATAATGTTTTGTGTAAGAAAAATAATTCCAAACACTTTGTTGTATGCTAGAAAGTACTGACAAATTCAGACAAATGTATATTACCCAATCGTACAGTCAGAGATGGATTCTACTCTTTACTCAGAGCTTACTGTCTTACTTGAAAAAAATACAAATAAAAAGGAATATTTTTGGTTTTGTTTTTAAATGTGCTGACTAAAAGCAGGAGGATACAATATCTCCTAAGAATGCAAAACATACTTTTCCTGTTTCAGAATCCTTTAGTGGCTTGCTTAATATACTGCTTTGCTTACATCATATACATCTACATTTGCAAAACCTGTCTTCAAATTGGACTCTTCATCAAACCGCTGTATAACAAAAGCAAATTAATGCATTAAGATTGTACAGTGCAACCTGATGGAAGATCAGCCATTACACCTGTGTTGCAACAAGGATCTAACCTACCTAGAGCACTCTGACTCTGTCCCACTATTCTCTGAGATCAACAGAAACCTTCTTTTACTTCAGTGTCTTTCTGACTTTCAAAAAAATCTTTTCTATTATTGATACTCAGAAAGTCTCAGAGCAACAGCAGGCATCTCTATACAATTACACCTTTGGAACAAGGGGTCAGTGAGGTTTTGCCAGGTGGTCCAGACAGCAAAAATGTCTCTCAACTGACTAACCTCCTGTCTCCAAGCCCACTCTTCCCCCTTGCCTTTCCAAATTAGAAAAATATTTGAAATCGAGCCACTGAAAAGTGTTTCCAAAAGGCACCGCAGCTGTGGACTCCCAGAGATAACAAATTAGCACTGTAACAGGAAACAAGGGAAGCAGGTGAAAAGGGCTGTTGAATGTTTTGATGTTGTAGCTCAGTTCATAAGTGCAAGGCCGAACCCTGCAAAAACGGAGTGGTATTGAAGTCTGCCTCAACCCTGCTGTAAGCACTGTTACACTGTGAGTATAAATAGGAGTCACAGCACAAGCTGTGGTTTAGCTAAAACGTTCCATACATCTGTACTTAACTCTGAGCCAACTTCCTTTTCAGGTCACCAGTAAATCATTTTAATTAGGAAATAGTTACATGGTACTTACAGTAATAAAAATGTGAACTTACTACCAGGCAGGTTTAGCTGCGGTGTTTTAAACCTAAAGACCTAAACCTTCCTGTAATTGTGTACTTGACACAAAGTTGCCCGACAAACTACAAAATCCTGAGCTTGGAGGATTGTTTCAGCACCAAACCTGAAGACATTCTTGGGTATTTATCTACCGGTTTCACGACCATCATATCCAGGCAGTGACCTGCTAATATGCTTGTTATCAAAACTGGGCTAGCACACGGCTACATCAACTGATGCTACTGCTATAAAGTCAAACAAGAGGCTCAGAGGAGTGGCTGTGTAGGAGAGGCTGTCCCCACACTTCCCCTACCAGTTTATGCCACCTATTTTAAAAGGCAGCCAGGTACTCCACAACCTCTGCTCAACTTAGCAATGAAACCCTCAGGAAGAGGAACTGATACTTTATAACCAAATTAACTTTACATTAATGTCCATTACCCCAGTGAAAATCATTCACACACGGAAACAGCTAAACTCATTGTGCTCTGACAGTTAATTCCATTACACAGCTTTCTTTTAAGCTGGTCAGACTTCCTCTGTCTGCTGCTGCTCCTTTATGTTCTTCCTTGTAAAAGACACAAGGTGACAGCAAGAAATGGGTACTTCTGCTTTATATTTACAGGGCATCTCCTATCCAAAGATGTTATTTCATTAATAAAATATCAGGCCACCACCAAAGAAAATGTTTCTCACCACAGCACTCACAAAACAAGCAAGCTACAGATATAATGCTACAGTGCCTTTAAAAATATAGAACACAGATGTATGTTTGAATATGAAAAATCTTTTGGGCAAGAAAGAAACAAGATGATGTCCTCTGAGTTAAACCCCCTCGCTCTCTGTGGGTAAATGAGTTTCCATTTCCACGAAGAAGCTGTGCAGGTCTCCCACAAACCTAATTGATTCCCAAGTCCTTATGAAAGGCAAAGGCCTTCTGTAAAACAGTGCAGCTCCAGAGTCCAACTTTGGTCTTTGTTTATATACACATGCATCCAACTAGATACATGCACCCAAACACATCTATCTATACTTTGTGCTCTCTCCTTCAGAGGTAGAGATAAAGGCACTGATTGAGAAAACAAAGCAAGCAATCTGTCCAAAAGCCTTTCTTTCAAAGGGAGCTTTAATGAGCTTTGAAACACTTGCAGAGCAGCCTTATTTTTGAGCCTTGAAGCCTTGGCTCTGTAGGGCAGGAAGAATAGCTCCTCGGGTAACCTGCTTCTTAGTGCCACCCAGAGCGGAATGCACTTGGCACAAAGGCAAGAGCCTGACTCCAGAAGTTGCAGGGATCAGTACATCTCACATGAGGCAGCCAAACTCCTCCCTGATTCATATTCTCCTTCACCCTGAGGAGTCGTTCTTACTGGCTCTTATTAAAATACAGCTTTTACTCTGCATCACTTTCACTAATGGCTTTGATCTAGACGTGAATAACAACTGCACAACATCCATATTCACTAGGCTACTGTGAGAGTCCGTCTAAAACCAGCTAATAATTTACATGGAAATCGTATCTACCAGAGGGAGCCCGTATGGCCACTATAATAGAACAATATTGACACAGGCAAGAAAAGTTAATTAAAGCTTTTAAATGAGGGCTACACAGTTCAGACAAGATAAAACCCTTAGCTCCACAGCCACATGATTTTACAAAATCCAGATTATATAAGTTTTAGGATGTGCCCTTCCAAACTGTTGTTGAAATGGTTCTACTGTACATAATATGTCTGAGAACAATAAAAGACATAATAAGGACAAAAGATCAAAATGTTTTCTAACTTTCTCTCATCATGAGAGCGATGAAGCATGCTGCTGTATCACTGAAAGAAGAAAGAAAACCCAACTGATCCAGACCCCCCCCTTGTGACACTCAAGGATTTGAAATGAAACCAGTAGGTCTCTTTGCACAGACTACTCAAGACCATAAGGTAAATTTTGAACTGGTTCTGATCAATGTGAAGCAAAAATGAGTAACTCTCAATATAAGTCTGAAAATGCAGGATGCGTTTGGTTTTCAGTAATCTCTGAAGGCAGCTGTCAGTAACTTCACTGGCACCAACAGAAAAGCTCAAATAAAAACTAAGCAGTTAAAGGATCAGAAGAAAAAACTAGATAGCAGCATCACATTTATCATTTCTGTAAGCTGCACCAATTCCAATGCTTAGTGTCTTAGGCCCTTTGTCCTGCAAAGTTACGTGCATTTACCTTTGTACACAGAAGCCGTCTCAAGAGTCCAAATCAAGATTATGTCCAAAAGTGTGAAAGGCAAACTGTAAATTCTGAGAACTATCTCATTCCACAGTCGGACAGTGCTTAACAAAACTGATTCAATTTTTAGTGAGACTTCAGAGAGGTTCCTAATTACAATTAAGAAAAAATTATTTGTTAACATCCTAAACTTACAGCCTTTTTCTGAATACAAATTAAAAAATTAAAAGATGGGTAGATTCTGAACTTGCAACCTCCTGAAAACTAAGTGTTTCCAGTACTCCCTGTCTTTAATCAAAACCAGGGCCATTTATACTTTTAAATTATTGCAAGAAAACATTCTATTCCAGGAGTACAAAAGAAAGCTGTTTCTAAAGAGGTAGGTAGTTTGAAGTGAATTTCTAGTTTGTATGTTTAAGCTATGTGCAATTTTCCTTAAGAAGCAAAACAAGAAGACTAAACTGGGGTTTTCTTTGAACTCAATTTCTCTTCCTTCCGCCTGTCTACTATCACAGAAAGTCACACGCTCAAGTATACAGCTTCACTTGTTCATGTTACCTGATTGGTTTTGATGCCACTGTTCACCTAAGTAAAATTACTCACATTCCTAAATATTTGAAGATTACATATTAAGTTTGCTGCTCCCAAATCTGTCCATTTCATTTGCTTGGACAGTAAGTAACATTTTTTGAACACTTCAAGTTACTTTCCCTCTTGATCAAAAAAACCCTCCGACAAAAAAAACATACACAGCCCTAGAGAAAATCAAGAACAACAACAAACAAACAACCAGGGTGAATACACAGTTCTTTTACAGAAAAAGCCTGCAATAACAGTGTTTGCTCAGCGCGTATCTGGCAAAGCAGTTAGAACTCAGAAAACTTCACGCTTAACAACTTCCGGAAAAGAGCTCAAGGTTCAGACGAGATACCACACAGAGTAAGACGCGCGTAGTTGCCAACAGTATCCGATAACACCTGTGTGTTGGAGTCATTAAAGATTTAACCGGAGAAGTCACATGCACGCCGAAAAATGGCTGACGACTGCCATGCTTAATGCACGTCTCAAAAACTTTGAAAGAAGGAAGCAAAATGGAGTTACCTCTGGATGAGGAGGATGGCACTTTCACCAACATTTCTTTGGCAGATGATTCAGGTAAGAAACTACAGTAATCTACTGATAAAATACTAATTCCACGGGCTGAATAATAGTACCGGGTGAGCACACAAATCTGTAGAACCTAATTACCATGTATAATGTATTTTTAACGAATGCCCTCAAGTAAACTTTTCTAGTGGTGTAGTTGAATAAGCCTTGTGATTAGTTACAAATCCAGGTTTTGGGGGTATGGAGGCTACCACAGTTTTCACCTAATAGCGTATGGTAATATACATTTGTCATCTGAGCACACATAGCCTTTCACTGTTTAGAAAGAAAAAGTTACAGAAATGTTAACTCAGTAGTCACTACGATCAACAAAAATACAGATAACACTGGCCTTTCCTCCTGAATATGGAACAATAAACCCTTTTACATATTCTAGTGAGAGCTCAGAAGTGATGCAAATTAGTTGCTAATGAAAATAAGGTGATCCATTTAAATCCCCACTATTAAGCATTTAATTGTTTTAAAAGAAACTACAAAAGTAAAAACTGCCTCTGCCTCCCCCCGCCCCCGCTCTTCTAGCTTATGGAATACAAATAATTTGTAATGGGAAGTAGGATAGTTCTACATACTGGAAAAATGAGGTGAGTTAACAGGAACTGATACTAAATTATTTAGAAAGGCGTGGCCAGAGTACCAACTGGATCATGTCAGCAGGGCTGCCATAGAGCTGTGCTAACTTACAGTAGCTAAGAATCTGGATTGCTTATTAATGAGTAATACAAGTCCTATTCCCCCCCCTCCTTTTTTTTCTAGCATCAAGAATGTTACTGTACATGCTATCTTTACCTCCTAGATAATAAAAAAACACGTGGGGTTGATCTTATTTTTAGAACACAATTTTCTAGCAATTTCATAGTAGCGTGATGGTGCTGAACTGGAAGTTTGAATGCTTTTTGTTTACAGAGTGTACAGCCCAATGACATCTAGATGTGGTTGACCCAAACTACTTACATTAAGATAAATTGGCAGACCTTGGTCCAAGTTGTGCAGTAACAGAGGGTTCTCCTGACCGTGAATCTCACTCTCTCCTTGTAACAAGGTGCAGAACAGTACAGAAAAGGTATCCTATGACCCTGTTTCATGACTTGCTGATAACATGGCAAGAACGGATGAGGGGCAGCATACAGTGGAAAGATTGGCTAGTCTTTGCACAGCATCCAGAAGTATCTGATTTAGGGATGACTCCACAATACTGGTTGGGTGGTTTTGCCATATTGCTCGCTTAGTCTTTTGGAAGATGTCAAGCTGCTTTCTTTAGAAGGCAAACACCCACCAGCCTCCTCTAATACTCTAACCTCAGCACCCTTGCAGCTTGGAAAACGTTAACACATGTGAGAAAACAGAGGCATAAAGTTAAAACCTCTCACATTCACGCACCAACTGACACAAGATACCAAAGTCTACTCACTAGTGCCAGGCCCTGACAGATGTCACTGATATAAAAGTAACTGCTCAGCAACAGTGCAAATAAGACTCTACTGCACCTTAGAAACTGAGCGCTTCGCATTTACTAGACTCTTGACTGCAGTAACACACCCAAGGTCAGAGAAAGCTCATGTTCGCAACACCAAGAGGACCATAAACAAGGCTTCTTTACACAAGGTCTGCAACCAAGATCAGAGCTTTTCCCATAGTGGTGAAGAGGTGGGGATAGTCACTCAGAAGTAGAGAGAAATTCAGAGGAACTGAAAATAAGTGACATTTTCAGGCAAGCTTTTAGCTTGAAGGCACAGAGGGAGAATACAGTAAGATTCATGGTGAACATGATAACCCTGGTCCATTTCTTCTGCCAGATGGTAACAGCTGGAGGCTAAAGAGAAAGGTATAAGAAAATTCCTAAGCTGTAACAGGAAGAGACTATCATATACTTCATAGGACATAGTCTTCCTTATCTCTCCCAGTTGAAGTTAAGACTAATTACAGTAACTTGAGCACAGAAACTAACAAACAGAATGGACCTTACAGCTGTAACTGTAAGGCTGGAAAAGAACATTAATTCCAGAAGAGCAGGGAGGATAACAGAAAAGTTTTAGACGTTGAGAGAGAAAAAGATTCCTTAGGACGGACAACAGCCAATTCAAGCAAGGAATAAGGAAACTAGACAGAGCATAAGTGGACTTTGCCTGAGGATGACCTGATGTTTTAGAAGCAAGTGTCCCATATCTAAATTTTAAGTAGGACCACAAAAATGCACTGGTTTTAATGAACTCTAGTATGCCTGTAATTGCATAAGGCTTTCCCCCGGTTTCTTAAAACGTACTGGAAAACATACTAAACAGACAAGTAGAACAACATGCTATATGTATGTACAATCTAAAGCATAATTGGAACACAGTCTTCATATCAAAGTTTCTTTAGTACAGTGAAAAGCCATTGTGGTAAAGCAACAGGGATTACTGAGCCTGATTAACCGAGTGCCATGCATGAATATTTAATAGCTATTGCTCTTTCGAAACGGCAGCGTTTCTCTATTTCTTAAGTAGACAGGTATTAAAAATAAATCGCTTCCATGTAAATCAAGATGAACACAAAATGGTAGCAAGATAGAAACTTCTGGATAAGTATTTTAATAGCAATATCAAAAGTGTGTGAAATCAAGGAAAGCATTCATTAACTGCATTTGTGAAAATATTTTCACCTTTAATGAAAGAAATACCTTTTCATTTAGAAAGTCATGGCACTTGATAAAGTTCCCTCAAAAAAATTACCTACTCAAACAAAAACACAGAGGAAATTAAACCAAAAACTAAACAAAACAGTGAGATGATGCCCAACAGCTGCAATTGTTCTTCTCATCAATGCTCTGTAAGTAAATCAAGGCGCTCTCTCTTCATTGTAAAGAACCTAGAAATTCTCTTACTCTTCTTTCAAATACGCTTTCCAGGAAGGCAACATTAAAGACTACATTTCTTATGTAAACCCCTCCTTTTAAAAAGCAGACATAAACCTCTAAATGTGTTGGCCTAACTTACAGAAGGGCAAAACAGTTTTCCATCTCATTAAATTAGCTGTAGAGCTTTATGGACTCTCGCTAAGAAGTCCTTCCATAAAATTTGGTGGCAAACTTACAGCTGATGATTACAAGGAGGATCAGACTGTTAACAGGCCAACATTATGTCATAGATGTTTGTATTCACAGCCTAAAGCTGCAAAGAGTTCAGTTGCTCAGACTATTTAAAAATGCGATTTTGTGGAGTCAGAGTAGAAATGAGAACATTTGCACTCCTGCACAATCTTGCAAAAGATAGGATGCAGTTACGTTAGAAGGCAGGCCTCTTTAGGGTTAAAGAGAAAATATGACTTTCTAAGACTTTCTTTTTGTAGACTTTCTAAAGTGAATGGATTTTTTTTCCCCAACTGTATGCTCACAGGTTATGTCATCTGATGACTTAAGGCACCAAAACACACACAATAAGTAAGGACTCAAACAATAGTTAGACCAATATAAACCAGAATAACTGCTCATTTCTAATAGTTTGATTTGGTTGGAAAAAGTGCAAACTAAGAACTACTCAAATTCTGCATTTGACAGAGGTCTGTTATTGTAAATTTGCAGAAGGACGTGCACAAGGCTACAAAAGCCTTTTGAGGTTATTCAAAAAGAGAAACAAGAATTGCAAAGAATTCTGGTGTAACGCAACATTACTTGAAAAAAACCTTCTCAGAGTCTGTCTGTCATTTCCACAGAGAAACAAAATGATGAAGATTTGATGTAAAGGGTCTTGCGAGTTAGTATGGAAAGGAAAAAGAATTAAGCCATTTGTATTCCTTTTTGTCTTTTTCTTTGTGGCAATAATTAAAGGAGAAAACAGTACAGTTCAAACAGCAAACTCATCTCAGAAATATGTACAATACCTTCTTCTGTTAGTGAAAAGGAGAATACATTTCTATTCTAGTGGTGAACAGTGAAGGCTCTGTCATCAGTCGGCTTACGCAGGCGCCTCTAGCGCCTGTAACATTGCCAAAAAGGAAGTGAAAGGCTTGTTGGTTTGCACTGTGTACCATGGAAAAAACAGGATGTACACCAGAGTCTGAGAAATAAAACATCTGAAAACGCTTGTCATTAGCAGCAATGACTTAGAATCTAAGTCCAGAGCAATAAAATTATCTCCTATAGTTTTGTAACTGTACACATATACGTATTTAGGTAAACTATTAATGATGCTTTATATCCTAGGGAGATTGTTGCTATTTTAGGCAAAAATGCTCTTTAAGTGAAACTGAATAAATTAATTCCTTTTGCCAGCAACATCAGCTAGTTTTGGGAAAGCTTATTTGGAACTTAGGATACAAGTAAGTATAGATAATTGCATTTGTAAAGTGAAACTTGTTGTTCCTATAAATTTAATATACATTAAATGAATGCCTCCCCTGCTTTAACCAAATGCCTTAGAAAATATAAAATGAACTAGTAAGAAAAGAAGGGATTAGCAGCTGTTCTTAGTTACAACCTAGTCAGTTTTGACTTCAGGAGCTCTGACATACTCCTAAAAATTACAGGTTCTCTTTATAACTCTTCAGTCAGAAAATCCACTTACCTGAAGCGAGTGATCTAGTGTGTAGGGTAAAAACAGTTTAATAAACCAAACAGTGGAACATTACGTAGGGCAGTGACCAAGTATTTCTAATAATAAAGAGAATCCTGTTATTTCTTCTTTTACACTGCAGAGTTGTTATGCTGCTCCACGGCATAAAACAATTAACTTCCAGAATTTGTGAATATTATTTAATTTTCTTGATAAGCTATATGTTTTCTAAAGTAGGGAGCAATAAGTCTGTAAACAAAACTAAGAAAAAAAAGCTGTGTGAACAGAGATTGTGCCCAGTCTCTCAGCCTTGTGCTGCATATTCCAAAGACTCAAAGTAAACAGCCACATAGTGAACTTGACCGATTTGCTCACACTTACATGTAAGTAGTATTTACCCCATTAATTTTGCCCCTCCCAGCGAGTGGGGAAACCACAGAGAAGCAAATGCTGCCAGGTGCCTGTGGAAGGATTGTTTCAGGTTCTCCCAAGAACAGTTCCCAGACAAGACTTGCCCTGCTAACAACTTGAAGAACAAAGAAACGACACTTTTTAACACAAGAGTTAAGAAAATACTACAGGCTGATAAAAGCAAGACTGCTATACAAGGGTTTGAACTGGCCTCCTCCAGTCAAAGGGGACACTAAGCACACCATTAAAGTGCAAGGTACTATTTCGTTCCTCTACACACATGCATAGGTATGCCTTCCCTGGGGACACAGTCTGCAATTATAAAAAGAATCTTACACTTTGGCATATACTCTGAATCCCTAAAGCTTCAAATTTGAAGTGCACAACAAATTTCATTGATGATATATTACCCAATGCAAGACTGGTGAGGTTAGGAATTTGAAAAACAAATAGGAAAGTCAGGTGATATTCTAAGCTTCTGTTGGTTTGGTTGATTTCTCATGAAAAATACTTTGGGCTGTGGGCTGTTTTCTGTGGTGTGTTGGGTTTGGTTTTTTTGTTTGTTTGTTTAAATCTGGTAATGCATCAGATATTTAGAATCCTGGAGTTGACCTCTTTGCACTGGAAAATAGAGGGAGGATTAGGAAGGCAAACCTTTTTAAGGGAAAGAAAGATGAGCTAGGTGTTCTCTCTGTGGCTTTTGCACCCAGCAGCATCAACCCAGTAGTCTTGGTCCCAGGACTGTGCAGACCAGGGCTGTGCACAGCAGGGTTGCTCCCCGCTGGCCCAGCCGCTTATGTGTACTTGCCTTGGAAATCAGGGGATGAAGGACAGGGAAAGAAGAAAAGTAACATACCTGGATCTTGCCAGGACAAGGAATTGGGACATAGCCAGGTCACAGAGAAACAGTTTCTAAACGGGGGCCCGGGGGCACAGGCCAGCAGCACAATCTCAGATACTAGGGTAAAGGGATTCATATTAAGCACTATTAAGGAAGATGCATTGTGTGAGATCCAGTATGTCTGAGTGTACTGCAGTACAAACCTAACAAAGCATCTGTGCAACTCTTTAACACTAACCTACTAACACACGGCGCTATGTAGACTTAAGACGCCATCTGTTCTCTGCTGACAGCCCCTCTGCCATGTTAACAGCGGAGACTCAGATAAAGACAATTTTCTCTAAAGGAAAACCAAGAAACCTCTCACACAGGTTAACTCCTGAAAAGGAGCTTCAGCCCGGTGCTCAAGATTAAACATCAGAAACGAAAGAAAATACTACAGTTGGAAACCACAACCATGCAAAGTAGAATACTCAACAGTATACGTACCAGAAATGGAAACAGTAGGTAAACCAGAAGCCCTTGGACATACTACTCTGGTTTGGCTAGGACAGCATAAGAGCCACAATACCTGGTTTCCGTTCTGTCCCATAATTTAATGTCAAGGTTCTTCCCACTTTCCTCATTTTGGGATGGTTTAGACAATAAACTGCAAATGTAATGCAGCAAGCAAAGTGAAATTTCTGCAGCAGAGAGGTGCATTTCCCCAAAATTAGCCTGCAATATTACCCCCCCGCCCTTGCAGTATAAAACAGAGCAAGTTCTTCACCAGGTATGCAAGCTCTCCATCCATCCCTATCCACCTGCAGACTCTGGCCATATTTTTTGCTTGTTAATCAAAGCTCTGGAAACTGTCTTGCTCGAAAGAATTATGACAACCTGTTGATTGCCAGGCGTGCCACACACCAAATGCAGCAATCAAGATCATAACAGGGTGAAAAACACCTGTCATTTTAAAAATAGCAATCAAGTAGAGTTACTAACAAGCTCCTAAAGCCCAGCTACCACCTGAGAGGACTGCTTGCAGGGATTAAAGAGGATTACTGCGTTAAAAATGCCTTCTGTAGAGACGGTGATATACTTTTAAGTAAACCAGCTAACGGAACTGAAATCAACAGACTCATTTTCCAGTACAAACAGACTGCAGGACTCTAATTAAAATATGTTTTCATAACTTGAACAGCATTCAGTCTAATCTGAATTTATCTGATTGGGAGGTTAAAAAAGTTATTAACACAATGTTAATAATATTGTGGAGGCACACAGAAGATGTAGATATTAGAAATACATACTTTCTGAAGTGTATTAAAAAATACAGTAGAGGGCACACTTCCCAAATGCCTTTATCTTCCTGAGCATCTCAGCAGCACCAAATTCTTTATTTATATGTGAATATATTCCTGCAACATAAAGATATGATATAATTCACTACAACATAGGGTTCAAGCAACATCCTACCTATAAAGATGCTAAAGGTTATGCAGTGCAGGCATTTCAGTGAAGCCACTAAAATTAGCTCAGGTCCCGCACGTTGTCTTTACCATGGCTCAGAGTGTCCTATGAGGACCAAAGGTAGCAAGCACCCTGTGCAGCATGTTCCACAAGGGTTATTCCCTCCAGGGAAAGAACAAAGAGGAGTGTTGTTCTGGAGCTACAGAGCTACTAGATGGCAGCAACTTTGCAAAGTTACTTAGGTTTCTGCGTGATGTGATCTGCAATGCTGTAAGATCCAGGAGCAAGGAGCTAAATCACAGGTTTCTTAGCCTGGACACTGCTGGTGAAGAAGGCTTATCCATCTGCCAGGGGTGGAAGCAGCGTGGTCAGCTTTGCAGGGCGCTGAACTGGAGCAGGTGAAGCCTGCTGGGCTGTGGTGGGGAGCCCCCTCTCCGAGAGCTCCACACACCTGAGGGTTGCCTACAGCCACAGGCACCCTCGGTCTTCTCTGAGGTTACTCACCTAGGTTGGAAGGGGCCTTTAGGATCAAGTCCAACCATCAACCTAACACTGCCAAAACCCACCACTACACCATGTTCCCTCAGCACCACATCTACACATCTTTCAAACACCTCCAGGGATGGTGACTCCACCGCTTCCCTGGGCAGCCTGTGCCAATGCCTATGCCTGACAACCCTTTCTGCGAAGAAAGAGGTTCCTCAGGCTTCCCCAACCTACCTAAATATGAAGGAGGCACAGGCTGGAAAACACCTGCTCCTTCTTACCTTTTTTCCTGACCGCGACCCAGCGCGGCCACCCGCGGGCGGAGGGACACCGCCTCGGCCCCTGAGCGCAAGATTAATTTATCGGGAATACGTTGATATTCATTTAACCGCGTACTCACTAGTTACTCCCATTATTTTTATCTGCAACTCAGTGGGATTTAACGGCAAAGGACCGCGTACGGTCAGAAAACACCAATGAACCGGGCGGGGAGCTGCAGTCTCTGACGGCCTCTCCCGCC